ACTAGAAGGTCCCCCCCAATTATTTTATGATTTTCTTCCAGGACCTCGTTCAGGGCCTGCTCCAGGACCTCGTACGGAAGGCCCTCACCGTTCTCTCGGCCGCGATTATCGACAGCGTTATTTTGCCCTCCTGCTCCATCGTCTCTTGCAATATAGTCAGAAGTTGGGGCGGGGCCAGGCCGAACGGGGCGGAGGGTTGGTTTGCAACACAAAAGGAAAGAAATCGTTACAAGAAATGAAGCCGACGTCGCCCAGCTCGTCAGCCCCCCCGTTAATGAATAACTTTCGCGAATCGGAGCTCGGAGTGACTCCGCCACTCCTACTGGCCGCCCCGCCCTGCCCCGCCCCGCCCCGCCCCACTTCTGGCGGAGAATAAGAATGAAGAATGTCGCCTCGAGAAAGGCGAACAACAACGGGGAGTCGAAAAAACAAAGCAATCAATCGCGCTTTTGTGTGTGGAATCTCTTTTGGATTTTCGGTTAACCTCAAGAAGCATGCAGCACAGGGGGGCGGGGCGGGCCGCGCCGCGCGGGGCGCCCCCTCAGCCGAGACATTCGCGACATTATTTCTACTTATTGCGCGACTTTCTGCGTGAGATCCGACTCGATACGGCGGCCGTTAGAGTTCTGGGTGCGCGCTCACGCCACACGATCAGAGCGCACAGCTCACCGGACGAAGCGCGATTTTTATTTTTATTTTTTTATTTTTTTTTAGGTCGTATAAAAATTACTCTTATTTGCGGCCCGTGTCTACATTTGGCGGTAACACGCTATTCAACTGGTTCTTCCTATGTCCAGACCGAAAAAAAGGTTGGCGAAAAAAATGGAAATAAATGTAGCCGAACGGACTGTCGGACGGGGGCGGGCCGCGCCGCGCCGTGTCGCGTGCGCTCGCTCCCACCCTTTACCCGCGCAGATTTGAAATGGCAACAAAATGAAGTGAAAAGCTCTTTTTATCGATATCAAAGCCGATGAGAGGCGCAGAGGGGGTGAGAGGGGTGGCGGCGGTGGTGGATTGGATCGCCGCGCGGACAGGCCAGACGGCGTGTTGAAGAAAAAAAAATTGAAGGGGGAAAAAATGAAAAGGGTAAGAAGAGGTTTTGGCATCGCGTCCGTGTCGTCCCCCGCACGGCTGACAAATCAGTTGGGTGAAGTGAATTTAGACAGGCTACGGCGGTGGCCGGCCTTTGTGTCCCGCCGAGCGCATAGCGTAAGCGGCGGGGAGGGGAGGGAAAAAAAGAGTCCAAAAATGGGGTAAACTGCACTATTTTGTCGTCCGTGAGGCCGACACAATGGGAGCGCTGTTATATTTCCGCGTCCGCGGGGGATGCGGGAGGGGGAGGGGTGACGGAGGGGGCAGGTGGTCCCGAGGGGTGCGGCGCGCTGCACCTCCTTCACGGCAGGGCGGGGAGGAGGGGAGGGTGGAGGGCTGGACTGGGCAGCTCCCCCACAAACACGCTTCCGCACTCGTAACAGCTGACCTGACGCGGCTCTCCCGACGGCGGCTGGTACAGGGACAACTTTCCTTGACGCGAGAGAAAGGGAAAAAACTGATCCCATTCACCTGTTGAAACCTGACATTCCCCTCGCCACCTTTTCCGTGAAATTGAGTTCCTTTATAATCGTAAATCTTTGCTCAAAGTGCCCCGCTAATTATAGAATTGATTACACTATTGGTTTTAAAGATGAAAGTGGATTTTATCTTTTAGAACTTCATACCTTGTTTACCTTGTTTTTACCCCTGCTGATATCCAGGGTCAGAAGACTATGCAGATTCTTAATTGTACTGTAAATTTGAAGGGAAAAAAATCTTCCAAAGGGTGTTTACTGTGCAGTCAAATATTCAAATGGATTGACCACAGAAACTGATTTTTTCAAAGATGAACAATTATTAGTTTTGGTTAAAGATTTTATTTGACTGGTAAATAGTTGTACAAAAATTAAATCCAAGATAAAAATATAAGCTGATGTTCAATATTTTTTTATACAAAAACAAACCCAAAAATTGGATATGAATGAAAATCCCTATAAGCCACTTATGATTTCATTCAATTGAAACAATTAACAGAGCCTGCCCCAATATTTTTGTTAAAACTTGAAGTTAAGATAAAGTACTCATATCAGTCTTTGTCAAATTCAGGACAGCCTCATACCTATGCATATGCATGCAATCTTTGGACAAGCTCATACAAAATGTTTTAGGAAGAAATAAAAACCCCACAATATTAAGTAATAGAATAATTATCTTTAAATTTATCAATTTTTAAAGCACCAATGTTCACAATCATAGTAAGCAAAAAGTTTTCGTTCAAAATAGGATTGCTACAGATTACAGGTACCTGACCTCTTATTTTTAATTGAAATAAATTTTAAAAGTTTACAGAGATCTGGAATTGTTATGAAGATGATTTGATAGATGCAAGATATTCTTCATGAAGTTTAGCTTGAGTAGCTTGTAATTTCTGTAACTTTTTCTGTTGACCTTTACTTATTTCTTTACCAGTGTTGTCATGAGTTGGCAAGCCCTGGAAATAATATAAAAACATGAGTGAACACAACAGAATACAACTAATAAATTTACTATTCCTATTGTTTCCTCTTATCTATGGGGAACATCTGGTAGGTCCCCTCACTAGAAGGTCCCCCCCAATTATTTTATGATTTTCTTCCAGGACCTCGT